AGTTTTAAAATAAAAAAAAGCAGCCTCTACGACCAACAGGAGCTAAGATAAGAATTTTTTTTTTAAATCGTAGCGCAATTGTTTATAAATATTAAGACTTGAATTTTTCACAAAATAAAGTTTACGACGTAAACTACGATTTCCCGTGAATTGCATTGAAAAATGTGGAAAATTAACGACTCACGAGCCCTTTAAAGAGAAGGTAGGGGAGAGTGGGGAACATTGGGACGTGGGGCACATTGAGACAATTTAAACTTCCCACATATTTTTATGATTTTGGTGTTCGTACTCCTGACGCAACATTGTTTTTGAACGCCGATTTGCGGTCAACAGTGCTTGCTACGATAGATGTTAGTAGTGGAAAAATTTAATAATTAAACGCGGTTTTGCTTACAAAGTGAAGGTAAGTACGTCTTATTCTTAAGTTTTTATGTAGAACATATTGGATACCTAAATTTTTTTTTAATTGTAATTTTTATGCCGACTCATAATCCTTTCATAAAGTGAGGTTAGCTTTATCTATGATTTACACAAAATTTTATATTCAATCTTTTCTGACTGTTATACTAGTGGGGCAGATTGGGACATAAAATGTGGGGTTCATTGGGACACTGTCTCAATGTACCCCATGCTAGTGTCCCAATGTGCCTCGCATTTATAAAAAATAAACATACTAAAACTTTTGTTTTAGAATATGGTTCGTAAATATAAAGAAAAAACCGAACGTGCTTTAATCCCGGAAAATGACAATTTGATAATTTGTCGATATATAATCTATTGCTAAAGTTCACTTCCAGTAGTGGTGTCAATTTCAGTGATTTTTTGTTGTTTGCAAAAGAGAAAATGACAGTTAATTTGTGTAAGGAGGTTGAGAAACTAACTCGTCAGCAAAATACATCACCATTGTGGCATGAAATGAGGTTTGCGCGGATAACAGCCTCTAAATTATATGAAATGGCAAAATGTCAGACATCAGACGGAACATTGGTGGAATCTATAATAGGTGCTTACAAGATTAAAGATACCAAATATATGATGCGAGGCCGAAATTTGGAAAGAAAAGTTGTCAAGTTTGTCGAAAACAAATTAAAGATAAAGGTGAAAGATTGTGGACTGTTTATGTTACCAACATATCCTATTTTCGGAGCTTCACCAGACGGAATTTCACTAGACTATGTGGTAGAAATTAAATGTCCAAGTAGTGAAAAAACTGTAAAAAATTACATAAAATATGATCAGATCACTGAAAAATTTAAAGCACAAATACAACTACAGATGTTGTGTGCAAAGAAACAAAAGGGACTGTTTTGTGTTGCTGACCCGGAGTTTGAAAAAAACAATAATGTCAACATTTTAGTTATTGATTTTGATGATGATTATGTCAAAAAGATCATATCTGAAAGTTTAGAGAATTGGGAAAACTTTGTTTTTCCAAAATTAATAAAAACTGTATGTGACAATTAAACTATTTTTTTAAATTAAAATTGCATATGTATATTAACGGTATTTTATTTATTTTAACTTTTAATAAATCTTCAATTAAAACACCATCAGTTTTCTATAGTCCAAAGTAAAACTTAATTTTCAATTTGTTATACAGGGTGGGCCACCAGTAACGCCTCGGTCGCTAGTGCTCAAACGGCAAATGTTACAGAAACCTGTTTAGGTGGGAATGTGTAGGTTGATTACGGCTACATTTTAAAAATATTTTGAAATATACTAGGGTGTATATATAATAGGGTGTCCAGGAAAAGCGTACCATATCAAAGTTATGTTTTTATAAATGGAACACCCTGTATTTTTCTGCATTTTTGAAAGCACCGTAAAAAAATAGGTGAATTTAATTAAAGGTTCTGCATACCTAGGACTTATTGTTTGTGAGATATTTCAATTTTAGTGAAAATGCAGGCTCGATAAAAAATTAAACGGCACAAATATCTCCAATACCGTTAGAGATAGGTATAGGGAACCTATACACAGTTTGAAAGAGTTTTAAATTTCCCAACTCCCAAAGTAAAAATATACTGG